GTGGTGGTGGTGGTGGTGTGTGTGTGTGTGTGTGTGTGTGTGTGTGCACATGCATAGAAAGGGACTGTTGGTGGGGAAGAGTAAGCAAGATCTTAAGGGAGGGGTATAGTGGAACACTAGTGGTAAGGATGGGAACAGGGAATAAGGCAGTAGGAGGTTGGGGACGGATAACTAACATTAAGGATGTTTGATAAAGCAAATTGGAATCGTGTTTATAAGCTCCATATGTACACACACACACATGTAGTTTTTCACCTAAAAGTTTCATTGCAATTACCCTGCACAGGGGTTTATAATCACTCTGGAAGCTATAGGTTTGCCAAATTCAAAACCCATTGCCAGCCAGGTGTGGGAAGTTCCTGTTGACTTGTTGGTTAGAGATTGTTGTAGAATATTATTTTAAGGTGTGTTACTTTGCCTGTCTAAAACACCTAACTGGTCTAATGAAGAACTAAACGGCCAATAGCAAGGCAGGGGAGAGAGATTGACAGGGCTGGCAGGCAGAGAGAGTATATAGGGGAAATCTGGGATGGGGAGGAAGAGACGAGATGGAGGGGTGAAGTAGAAGAGCCAGAGAAGAAGGAGGAATCCAGGGGCTAACCACCCAGCTACACAGCAATCCATGGAGTAAGAATAAGATTTACCGAAGTAAGAGAACGGGAAAAACCCAGAGGCAAAAGTTAGATGGGATAATTTAAGTTAAGAAACAAGCTAAGCTAAGGCTGGACATTTGTAAGTAAGAATAAGCCTGTGTGTGTGATTTATTTAGTAGTTGCGTGGCGAGCTTCCCCCAAAAGAGAAAAAAACAACAGGAGACGTCCTGAGATCCCCAAAGCAATGCAGGCTGTTCACCTTTGCTCTTGGTTGCCCACCGGAGCTCAATGGTAGATATCTGCTGGTTCAGTATTTACCTCATTCCTTCCCTACATCTCCTGTTCCTTACTTGGCTTTCCTTATCTGCCAGACCAGGTTAGGCATTTGTACTTTGAGGGCCTGATCTCTGTGCAGAAATTAGACTGCACCGAAATCAGTCCTTTGTGCTCCTTTTCGTCTCAACTGAAGTTTTAATAGTGTGCTTGTCGCCATTGCCTACGATTACATTTCCAATGGCAACTGAATGAAACAATGGCTAAAAGCTCTTTTTGTATTGCTCAGAGTGCTTGTTTAATAAGTTCATTTTTATTGAGTTTTAATATTTGAATATGCCTAAATATTACTTTACTTTATTATTTTTCTAGTAGTATATACTTAAGCAACCATTTTCATTTTCAACATTCAGTGTACTTTTTAATATCATTTGTGAATAAAAATTAATTATGAATTTATAGATTTTTAGTTATAACATTTTACCTCAAAACAGTCATTTTGTTGTTACTAGGTATGTGAATTTCATATTTTCGGATAATGTTCATGGAACATGAGTTAAATTTTTTTTTTTATTTGTTTTACAGGGAAGTCTTAGAAGTAGCCGACAGATCTCACCTCAGGAATTTATTCATGAGCTGAAAATGGGGTATACTGACGAGAGACTTTTTACCTATCTAGAGTCACTCCGAGTATCATTGACCAGTAATCCTGTGAGGTAGGTAATTCATCTCCTGGATGTCACTGTGGCATGTTACTTAAACAGATAATCACTAACCTTCCTTTTTTATTTAGTCCATCTACAAATAGCTAGTATATATGACCAGTTTCTCAAGGTAAAAACTAAATACCAAAAGGTCACTCTTGAAAACATATACATACAAGTACCATTATACAGACTGAACCGGATGAATTATGTATTTAGGAATATGAAACACATACACTTGTAAACACACACACACACACACACACACACACACACACACACACACACACACACACACACACACACACTCACTCTGCAAATCAAAAGAAAGAGAAGCCATGTGTTTGAAACAGAGCCAGGGGGTTGGACATGGCAGGCCTTGGAGGAACTGAAGGAAAGGAAGCAGTGATGCAATAATATTATAGTCTCAAAGTAAAAACAGATCATCTGAAAAATGAATATAAACTGTATGGATGAAGAAAGGCCTCAGTGGGTCTTTGTGTTACTGATAAAACATAACTCATGGACTTAAAGCCGTTTTATGAAGTTCTTAAAAACATATTTTGTGTAAGAACAATCAAGATAAAAATCTATTACTCTAATACAATGAAGTTTTACTTTCGAGTTTCCTATCGTTCAAATGCTTGCTGATTCTTGTGTGACAAGGCAAGGCCTACCACTTGTTCTTTCTTGTCCCTCTGTTGAAAATGGTGTCTTATGTGGGGACCCTTAGATTAATGTCGCTATATTTACCAAATAAAGAACATAGTGTGCATAGTAAAGTTAACAGTTTTTGACTTAACTGACAGAAAATGAAACAACAAAACCTATCTGAAATACTAATTTAACAGGGTGTCTTTTATGTGACTTCTATAGATCAATTTTATACTTTTTCTGATTGGGCTACATTTTCATGCCTTTGAGAAATCTTGTGTGAAAAATTTAAAAGGCAAAGTCATGATGAAAAAAATGTTCTCATTTAAAATTACCAGATTACTGCAATTTAGGAGGTATTTGTTAAAACACAAAACAGAATAAAAGAAGGTGTTACCTGAAGTGTTAATTTTGATACTTTAAAGGACAGAATTCAGTTTTCATAGAGGCTTTATGCTAACCCTGATTTAGCTTAATGTCTTAACTAGAATATTCTTGAAAAAATTTAAGCAGAAATTGTCAGTAAATATTTGAATAGTCAGAGTCAGAAAATCTGTCTGAGAAAGCTGGCTGTTGGCTTTTTATTGTGTAAGAGATAGTTTTTGGATAGAATATATGGATGCATATTTATGTCCGTGAATGTGTGAATAGGTGGAAAGCTGTGATGGAGTAGTACAGTTGTTGGTAGTGGTATGAAAAATAATTTCCCTGAATATTCTCTATAATGAGTACTTTTGTGGACATTTTCAAGCTTGAATACAAGATGAGAAAGTCTTTGGCCATAGAAATATTTAAAATAAAAGACTTAGGTTTATTTATTTATTTATTTATTTATTTTTTATTTTACAATACCATTCAGTTCTACATATCAGCCACGGATTCCCCTATTCTCCCCCCTCCCCTTACCCCCAGCCTAACCCCCATTCCCACCTCCTCCAGGGCAAATCCTCCCCCGAGGCCTGCAATCAACCTGGTAGACTCAGTCCAGGCAGAAGACTTAGGTTTTAAGACCTGGAAGTTAGTAAGAATAAACCACCACAGCAAAATCGTTGTTGGTTTTCAGTTTTATGGGTTTTCCTGTCCAGTGTGTTTGTTAGACTGTGGCTCAACGATGGCTGGTAGCTGTTTGCCTGTGTGCCAGCTCTTCACCAGATCACATTCTGTGATGTTTCAGAAGTACAAGAGAGAGTTCTTAATGGAAACCAGGAAGTTTTCATTTTACTTTCTTTTGTCTTATCTTGCCTTTTATTAGTTAAGAGATTACACTTAGTGAATATAATGGATACATTTAGAAAATGAGCAACTTGTGTTTCCAGCTTAATTTATCCATGTAAAATACATTAATTTAAGAATATTTATTAGGAGCCTGGAGAGATGGTACAATTGGTACTGAGTTTGGATCCCCAGTGCCCATGTGACAAGTGGGGTATGCTGGTGTATGACTAATTCTGGCACTGAGAATGCAGAACCAGGAAGATCTGAATGACATTCTGGCCAAGCAGTTTAGACAAAGTGGCAAACTTTGGGTTCAGTGAGAGACCTTGTCTCAGCCCGTACAGTGGAGAGTGATGAGTAAGATGTCTGATATGAACGTGTGGTATCCACATACATGTGCTCACATACCGATTTATATGTATAAACACATACACTAAATGTACTGAACACAAACACTCATAGAGAATATTATTAAGCACGTGCTGTTTGCCCACGTGTTATATTCAAAGTATGGCTTGAGAAAACACTGTTTCTATGGAGTTTAATTGGAGCAAAAGGGTGTTTCGGGGGTAAATTGGGGGAGACAACTGCATTCATTTCTGCTCATGTCAGGCACAGGGCACTGGGTCTTCAGAATTTTTTCAGTGTAAAAGGTGGATTAAAGTCCAGCATGAGGAAGTCATTGATGGTGTGCCGATTTCTTTCCCAGCATTACTACTTACCCAGCAGCTTCTCCCCCCCTTTTAATCAGATCATGCTGATAAAAGAGGAGATAAAAGAGATTTTGTACGAATTCATGTGTAGTATAATAAAATGGGTAACTTGTTTAAATTTTACCTCCAAATACTGAGAAATGATGTTCTATATTCTTATTTAAAGAGAATCATTAAAATACCACCAAATTCTTGTAGAATCTTTTTTCCCAGGTTCATTTTTTAAAGTGTTATTGTAATTCATTATGTTTCCATGAAGTCTTTTCAACTGATAAGAATCCAAAGTCTTGTCAGAAACAGTATTTCTGAAGAGAAGTTTCTCGAATATTTGTTCTTTCAGTGTTTCACTAGAGGAATGCCTTGTAAAACTTGTCATTCTGCCTATGATCAATTCTTTGGTCTTTACTCTTAGGATATATCTGCCCACAAGATAGCCTTTCATATTTGCTTCTGTCTATACAGTATGTGGCTCATCTAGTTAAGTGTTCCTGATCATTATTAGATATATATCATTGAATGGATGTCATTCTTTTACTGTCGTGTGGTGCTTTTTTTTTACTTGTTTAGATGGGGGTCTAACTATCTTGGGAATTGCAATCCTCCTGCATCGAGCTCCTAAATTCCGGGATTAAAAGTGTTTGTCTCCATACAAAATTTAAAATTCTTGAATGCTGTGGCTAAAACCCCATGAACTGATCAGTGCTTGTTCTATTAATATTCCTTCAGAATCAGAATTTATTTAAACCAAATTTAGAGAAAACTAGCCTTCCTGCCCTCCCAATTATGACTTGCCTCCCCGAGCCTCTGGCCATGGGATGTCTCAGAGCAGTTCATCAAGTTCTGAAGCTGCCTGCCAAATATGAGCCATGCTAACCTTCATCACCTAGATAGGAAAGCATGCAAAAACAAGGTTTTAAAGACCAGCTCCTTTGCCTTGTTTTCTGAAGATTTGATGTGAAGACTGTAAAGTTCTTCTGTTTGAGAAGGTTCATTGATTATTCATTATTCTTTGTGACAGTTTGTAGCTAGTTTTGAACACTGGTGAAAAGATTAACTTTTTCAAATTACCAAATATAACTTTCAGTGAATCTTGACACAAGCAATAGTTATGTTTGAGTGATTGAATGCATTGGATAAAAGCAGAAACAGGTAGACACTAACATCATTATGATTGATTTCAAGCATTTATAGTTCTTACCCACTTACGCATATGCCAAATTAGTTACAGAATGTATCTTTGTTTTCTAAGTTTGATGTACTTGTCAGGGGCAAAATTTCTGTCTCCTGAAATTCAGTGTAAGGAATCTTTGTTTTCTCATTTTAAGCAATATTTTCTTTTATATACAGGTACATTTTGCTTTTTCAGTTTTATAAGAGATGTTTTTCATTTTTTTATAGACAATTTCTTAGGCTATTTTTGAAGGTAAGTTTCATTGAGGTGATAAATAAAGCTTTGACACAACCATTTTAGTGGATTTTTGCAGAGAAATACATTTATACCCAAAGAGTAAAAGTGTTTGCATGTCATTATTGATTGTATTGAGTGTCAACTCCATAGTCCAGTTTATCAACATTCTTGGCTTTACAACACAAAGCATGTACCTTTAGTGGTGAAAGCTGGTGGCAAGCATTAGATTTGATGTGCCCACTGGGACCAACATGATCTGAAGAAGTCTCTTAAGAGAAAGGTTTTGATATCACTAGTACTTTGGTCTGTTCGGTGGTGGCACACGCCTTTAATCCCAGCACTCGGGAGGCAGAGGCAGGCGGATCTCCGTGAGTTTGAGGCCAGCCTGGTCTCCAAAGCGAGTTCCAGGAAAGGCGCAAAGCTACACAGAGAAACCCTGTCTCGAAAAACCAAAAAAAAAAAAAGAATAACATATTAAAAGTATTTAAAGGAATGATTATAGTTACAGTAAAATATCTATCAACAGGGCTGACTTATGGAATATTGTAACCTTGACATGTTCATATCCTTTGGCAAAAAATTCCTTTACCCTCTGTCCTGTGGCAAGTTCTGTCCTAGCATTAGAATTTGTCGTTCCTTTTTTTTTCTCCAGTGGAGTTTCACTATTCACATATTCTTGAGTAACAGATAATTGGTTTATCTCATTTACTGTTAAAGTTCATTCCCCTCCTTGGGCTTGTGTGTGTGTGCATGTGTACAGAGTCACATGTGTGGAGGTCAGTGACATCTCTCTGGAGTTGGTTCTCTTCAGCTATCGTTTGGGGATCAAACTATGACTATCATGCAAGTGACTTTAATAGTGAAGCCATTTCACCAACCTGATTGGATTTATTTTTTTCCATGCTTGCTTTACGTGGACTTCTCTCCCACATATCCTTCTGAAGTTTCTGTTTTCTTAGATTTGCTCATGTTGATGTGTGTAACTGGCTATACCTATCACAAGTTAGCAATATGTTTTGTTA